GGGGGTGGGGGGGTGGTGATGTGAGGGGGGGGGGGGAGTGCAGGCATGCATTGTGTGCATGATTGAGAGTTTGCTTGAGGGGGAGTGCACACTGTGTGTGCATGTATTGTGTGTGTTGTGGGTAGGTGCACGTGCATGGTGTGTGTGTAGTTGCATTGTGGGTGTTGTGGTTTGTGGGGGGTGTACATTATGTGTGCATGTATTGTGTGGTTGCATAGTGTGTTGTGTGTGCATGCATGGGAAGTGTGGATGTGAGTTTGTGTGTGGGGTGTGCATAGTTGCATCGGGTATGTTGTGAAGGTGTGTATGCTGTTGGTGTGTGCATGGGGTGTGTGCCTGTTATATGAGTGTATAGGTGCGTGCAGGCTTATCTTGTGAGGTTGTGCCTCCACATGCACTTTGTGTCAAACATGTCTTGTGTGTTTATGTCTGGTGTATGGCCAGCTTAGGCTTTGTGTGTCTGCATGTCCACGTGTGGGTTGGTTGAATGTGAGGAGTTGCTATGGTATGTGCGTGGGGGTTCCTAGGCAATGTTTCATTGTGTGACATGGATGTCATGTGTTGTGACTGCATTGTAGCAGGCACTGTGCATGTATGTGTATGTCTGTCTGGAGTGGGTTGAGTTTGTACTGGACAGTTTGTGCTCTGTGTTTGTGTGTGGTGTGGTGTTGTGTTGTGCAGTGGGTCCTTGCTGTGTGTTGTGTCCTGTGTCTAGTGTGTGCTCTGTCTGTTTTCTTACACGTGTAGCATGTGTGTGGTTGTGTGACCATGTGTCTATTTTGTGCATCCTGGGGTATGGACAAGCCTGCATGGTCTATGCATATTCCATGTGTTACACTATGTGTGTGAGTGAAATCTCCTGTAAGCTTTAAGGGGTGGGGGGGGTGCAGTGTGTGGTGGTTGCATGCTACACCAGGTGCATGTTGTATGCATTCTGCATGTGTGTGTCATGTTCTGGGCCAACCAGTTGCATTTCTGTTGCATCTTGGGCATCCATAGTCCATGGATGCAATTCAGTGATATTCCATGGATGCAATTCAGTGTGTATGTGCATTTATGTCCCTTTTTGTGTCACGTGGGCTCTGTACACACTTGAAGTGGGTGTGGGTCTCAGTTGGGCATCTCTGTTGTGTGGCCCTCATATGTCCATCCTCACAAATGGCATATTTATGTGTTATCTCCACACTGTGTGTGACTGGGGGGGGAGGGAGGGGGGGTTGTCCCTGTCAGCTGCCCTCT